CTCTAAAGAGGCTCCCCACGGGACGACGGTGGGGAGATCGGGTTCCAGGCATTGCACCTGGATCTAAATATTTGATTGCATGTGTAATACTTACAATTGCATATTCTTTAACCCCTAACCCTTTCCAACGCCCACCAATATACTCTTAGAATGCCAATTTTTGTATTTTAATCATCATTTTATTTTAATCATCATTGTTTTTTGTTAATCAAACAAAAGTTTTATCTAAAAAAATCTCTTTTTATATAATCAATGTTAGAACTTTTTGATTGAACATAAGTTTTATTTCTATTATTTTCAGATATATTTGAACAAATCATCTTGTTATAGCCCTGTTTAACCCTCACAGTTTAAATTAATTAAAATAAATTTTAATTACTTACCTGTGTTAGAGAGGCTTTACCCGTTTAAACCCGGATAAACCCTTTTACTCTCGGGGACCATCTATGATAATTTAAACCAACAACCTCATATTGTAAATAATATAACAAGATTTTCATGTTGTATAATAAACACTTCTGTAAATAATTATACGCATGATTGACATGTGTCATTACATCATCATATGTAATGTACTTTGTATAAACTGAGGATAAATGAATAAAACTCTGTAATAGATTAAGAGTTGAGCTAAAGCAAATATCGAGATGTAGAAGTCCCACAACTTTAAGAACGAGGCCTAGAAGATAGGGCGTTGCCAGAGTGTACAATGACATTTCTTCCGATTCACGTCCTTTTAGCATCCGCTGAAACCCAGTACTTCCTCTCGGCAAAGATATAAAACCCCCCGCCAGGGTCGGAAATGAATAGTCAATTCACCATCAGCGGGAGCCCTCGTTACTTCATCCATCGACCATGTAGACCAGTAAGAACTTTTCTCAAATCTCCATCTTTCACTCCTAGCTCGACTTTGATCTGTTCAAGGAACTTTCCTGGTACAACTGTGTCCCTTCGTTTTTCTTTGTGTGGAAATTCCCAAGTCTTCCACTCTGCCTCGACCACGACTGCCTGTATTCTGTGAGAACTGTTAAAGGTCTTCCAAGGTGCAGAGAGGTACTGGAAAACTCTCCGCGCCCTGACTGTTCATCTCGGTTACTACACGTTTGACCCTATCGGTTACCACAGTAAAGTGAGAGACCCTCAGGATATCACATATATATATAATCCTAATGAAATCAAACGAGATAACTATTTGAATGAATATACGTATTTATCCGGAAAAAATATCATCACAATTATTTATATCTCTAGTTTCATACTACCGATTTATTTTTATGAAATGCCAGACGCTCATTTTTGTCACAAAATTGGCTGCGCCTATTAAAAATATTTTTACAAATTTTAAATTTTACTACAGAAATCACGGTCATCTAGATGTCTGATATTTTGTAACACTTCCACTAGATTAAATTTAAGACTTCTGTGTGTGGTCTGTAAGTATAATAAAAATTGATTACATAATCTATGGACAAACATAGAAGCATATTGAATAAAAACTTTTTAAAAATAAAAGGGGTGAAAATACAAAGTAAATTAGCCCCAAAAAAGTTAAAACACAAAGCGGAAAAAGAGCGCAGAAAAGCAAGACAAAACAACACTTAAAAACTTAAAAAGGAAAGAGTTTTTAAAGAACATATTATAGAAAGATAGCAAGAGAAGAACAAAAAAAAGAAAAATATTTGTAACAAATAAATTAACTGGCATGTGTTATATTTCAATAATTTAATAAAATATTATCTCTACAGAGACTTTACTGCAATTATATAAGTTATTGAATGAGAGGGCTTGGCTCATCAGTGGTGAACCCTCTCAGTGGTTTCGCCAAATTATTCTCCAGACCGCTCTAATATTGTATTGAATTGGTAGATCCGTAGAGATAATATTTGATGAAATTATATATTGAAAAGAAACAAATTCATTTCTTACTAATTTTATCGATATATGACAATTGAATTTATAAAATAAAAATATTTAAAATATATACGAATAAAAGATTACATGAGGAGCTTCTTTTTCGATTTATTGCGAGCTTTCGAACCTTTCGATTCTTCTACATGCATGGATAGTATGAATATACTAACGTTAGTATATCCATACTATCCATGCCAGTAGAAGAACCGAAAGGTTCGAAAGCTCGCAATAAATCTAAAAAGAAGCTCCTCATGTAATCTTTTATTCGTATATAGTTAAACAAAATCTACTGAGTTCATGTAGCCGAAAATATTAAAAAATATATTTGCAGAATATTTGTTTCTACATCAACCATACTTAATACTGTCAAATTACATTGGCAAACATTTGCACTCTTATCTCAGTTTTTAGTGGGAAGAAGGTTGTTTTTGTTTGTTAGTGAACCAATATCTCCCGCCTTCTCATTGGACGAATGTGGCCATGTTTGTATATATAAGGGGGGCTATGGTATTGTGAGAGGCAGTGTGGTGGATATTTGTGTGGAGACGCTAAATATGTTCTCTGCGTGCTTTGTCCGTGTCTGGTGATCTCCTCACATACTTGTGCGACCCCGGTCCGATCCCTACCAACGCTACAATAAAGGATAAATACTGTTTTGTTTTTATTATAGCAAATCGTGAGTTTTTATTTTTCCTCCTTTTTATTGTTGTTGTACTCTTAAGTGCACGTTTTTCTGTGTGCTAGTTACTATTACTTTAGGCCTTAGTTTTTTTTTGCAAATTTTGTTAACCCATACAAAGTAACTTTTGTCAATACACACACAACATTATTTTTATCTTCGAAACATTGTCAATGTTATTTCTGTGTAAACTACTTTATAAATAAAAACAGTCATGCTCAATTTTTAATATATAAGGTTTTAATATAAAGAGATAGGAACGTTCAAGAGGAGTCAAGCATATATACAAAGAAAAATAGTCCTTTCAGGTAGAAATTTCAGGTTTGTTGGTGTAAATGGCCTGTCTCATCTGGTTAGTCTCCTGCTTATATGGCTGCTGGACTTCTTATCGCAGGAGTCCGGACCTTCCAGCTGCATCTCGTACCCTGGGACCACACACATTTCTTTTCTTAGTCCAGACAAACATATCGGATCTTGGGACATATCAATAGGATGAATGTAAAGTAGTAGACTTTATTTTTTGCTTATCCCTAGTACACGTGGTACAGGCCATTATAATCATGGTGGATAAAAGTATGCGACTTCTTTTACTGTAAGTGCACCTCATGTCTACATATGTGAAAAGCAGTTCGACTTTGCACTTACAAATGTGCCAGAGCTCCTTTTGGTTACTTGCACTCGCTGGTGGGGTTGAAATTTTGCAAGAATTGGGGCCATTGGAATTTTTTTTTAAATCAGAAAAAAAGTATCCAATTCGGGAATCGAACCCGGGTCATAGCGGTCGAAAACCAACGGTTTAGACCATCTTTCAACCGACCCCCATGTAAAAGACTATAAAAGTATAGGGCTAGTGACGTGGTATCATAAACTACTGATTTTTGGCATCTATTTGAGAATGCTTTAAAGTCCTTCTCTACATTCATAGTCCAACCCTAACAGTAAATGATAATTGCCAGCACGCCGGGAGACCGACCAATCGGAGAACGCGGACCCACCAAGGAGCTGATGATGACCTTGGACACTCGGTGGTATTGTCTCTAGCTTGGTATTACTTTCGATATTCTATTTGGTTGTACTTTTCGTGATGAGGCAACGACTCTCAAGAGTATATTAAGGACAATGAAGTATCTATAAGTAGTACAGTGTAATATATGCCAGTGACAACTGACCTTGGGTGTTGCCCGAGGGAGGCCTCTGTTGGGACCTGGCAGGGTTCCTCTTTATTGTGGCGAACACCGAGGACTCGGTGGTGGGCTGCACCAAACCACAACATCTCTAATAGGTTGGACAAGTCAGTATTATATATATAACAGCAACAAAACTAAGCAGCAATAGACATGGTAAGTAAACAGAGACAGTACAGTAAGTAGACAGAGACAGTAATAAACAGAAAGAAAGTTTTTATAAAAATCTTCTTCTTTCTTATCTCCACACTGGGTGAAGTAGAATGCGTCTGCCTTTGTCATTAAGACTGGGAACACTACTCAGTGGCAGGCCGACTTAGCTCCAAAAGAAATGGCCACCTCTGACATGAGGAACAGACGCCATGTGCAGCCGCTCCTAACATGGACTACAAACACTGCTCATCCTGTATCCCTGGATTAGGAGCCCTTACAGGGTACTATCAGCCGGGCCAGCTGAGCCCAGGTTTTTAGTAAGCTTGTTACTGCTCCCCCTCCTCCTTTTTCATAAAAATAAAATACGAGAACGATGGCAAAAACTATTATGTAAACAATCTGAAAATTTCAATCATATATTAAAATTCTTCATTATGAATAAAACAAAACCCCATAAAATGGAGCCACACCTCTCTATATATTATAAATTTACTAATTATTTACAATAAAATGTAAAACGTGAAAAATTTAATGAAATATATCTTTTTTTGAATCATAGTGCTTCAAATATGCAATATGTTTTCTGCTCTGCGCGTTTTAAAAAGCTATATATTTCACATCAATTTCAATAAAAATTATAATATTTTTATTTGCTGGATTGAGCCTTCACGATCGTTTTAACCAAAATATTAAAATGATCAAGTTGAGCAGGATTCAAACACCTAAAGAAATGTAGACAGAGCATATATATTTTTAAATAACCCCATATATAGTTTCAATCGATTTGTTAAGATAAATAATATATTGGTTTTCTTTTTATTGATTGTTTTAAAATAGTATTTAACTTCGAATTAGAATGTTTTTGTTTCTAGCGCGAACTTTGCTAAAACTAAGAAAAGAAAATATAAGTTAGAATCATTAATGAAGTCGTATTTATAGAGTTTAAAGTTGTTTTTTTACCTTTATTTTTTTATAAAGAAATATAAAAAAATATATCTGCTTATATAATTGCCTTATTCTGTCTGTGTGAAGTTCACGGATAGATTTTGGTCAGAATGGATAAAATAAAAAAACTGTCAAGGGATGGGAATCGAACCCACGACCTTCCGCTTACCGGGCAGATGCCATGACCACTAGGCCACATGACCACAATTTATAATTGTAACAAATAGTATTTGAATCAAAACATTCAATCGGGTAAAACAGGGGGTTGCCCGGGTCATTCGGCTAGTCTTATATATATATAAATCAATGTTTGTATGTTTGTTTGTTTGTATGTCCGGTATACAAATTCACAGTAGTTCACTAAATCAAACCAAAATTTCCATACATAGGTAAAAAATACAGAGAAGACGATAGGCTATTTTAAAAAAATATATAAATCAATTATTAAAACTATATATTCAAATTATTCTACTTAGCTCACGAACAGCGCTCTCTATCAAAGATTAGATTAAATTATGCTGATGATAACAAATAGATAATGCTAATAACAAACAAATATTTAAAAAAATCTTATCTAAATACTCGTATATATCACTCGGGTAGATATGCACACGGGTCAATCCCGGGGCGAAGCCCGGGTCACCCGTCTAGTTTACTATATATAATAATAAAACATCTATAGGGAGGACTTGAATAAACAGCAGTGAACTCAGCGATATCTCCAGTTTATTCCCCAGATTGCACTACTACTGTATATTTGCTATTCAGATAATATCTTCCTACTTCTCGATATCATCTCTGGCTTTAAAAACAGTGAGAAAAATCTCTCCATTCCTTTAAGCTATTAGCCACTTGTTTTCTTTGGTGAAAAGGTCCAACATTTTAAAAAATAATTTCGATCATATGCATTCTTTTCATATATATTTTTATTTAATTAAAAAGCCCTATATTGGATCAAAATATCATTTATTTTACCTAAATAAATGATATTTTGATCCAATATATGCCTTTTTAATTAAAGATTTATTTATGGATTGCTCTATTTTCAAAATATATTTTTAAGTGAAAAACATAATAAAAAATGAAAAATATAAAAACGGTGTCAGGTGTTTATATTGAAAAAAAAGGCATATCCTGACCGTGCTCACATGATCATTTCTAGATGGCAGAGCGCCATCTAGTGGAACAAAAATAAACTAAACGTTTATTTAACTTGTTCCGTGATATTTGGCCAACCAAATTTATTGATAAATCAAGAAAAGTCAACCACGTAGGCGTTTCGGGCTGTTGGCCCTCGTCAGCGTGGTGTAGACTCTCTAGTATCTCTACAACCAAATATTTGGTCCCAGAGGCTTCCTGAGAAATCAAGAAATTGGTATTTAAGACCAAGTTTGCGTAAATACGCATCTATAAGTAACATAATTATATTGTAACAGGCCAAAATGTGGACACAGTTCAACTCGGTAGTTTGGCCATCGTGTAATACAAAACGGGATAATAAAGTTTGATTGAGAGTCCGCCGGCGCCCAGACAGAAAAAAAGGGTCTACGATTACACAGTCGGACCGACAAACATAGTCTGATATAAAACAGTTCCTCTCTGCCTCTCATATAGATCAGACCCTCCTGGACTGGCGTTGGCCTCTCTCTGGAGTGACATCCAACCTGCCTCGTCCTTTTGTGCTATCTATTGACGCCTGAAACTACTCTGACCATTGTGGCCACAATATTGTATCTAACCTGCCTACCACTACAGTCAGTAGACAGGAAAACATACCATATATATATGTCATAATATATACTCTTCCAGGAATAATAAAGCAAACCTAGAGCCAGCCCAGAGAGAGACGGGATGCAAAGTCCGGTCACTTGAGACAGCAGCGACATTCCAAGGGGCGGCAAATGGGGCCCGTCCGTTAAAACCTTGGGACTTTTAAGACAGTTGGGGGATTGTGTGCGACACGAACGGCCGCCCGGCTCTCTCTCTCTCTCTCTCTCTTTGGTTGCCTGGGTTCCTTCTACAAATTGTGGTGTGATTATTTCTCTTTCCCCACATTATTATATTATTATACCACATATATATATACTAAAGTATGGCGTAAGGTAAATATTTTGAGTGCAAACAAAATGGCTTCTGTGAAGGCTAAAAGACGATTAGAAACTAAGTAGAACCGCTGAAGAATATCAAATTGCTGGTCCAAAATGTCCTATAGAGAGATGATCTCTCCCCGGACAGCAGCGAATTGGTAAAAATGGTAATTTTGGTGATGAAACTCGACTTTAAATAGAGGTGTCCTCTAGTCTGATTGTCTTCTCATGAAGATTATAATATACGTCAAAGTGATGGCTAAATACAATAAATATCGATTATATATATAATTTTATAAAGGTTAAATAATTTAACAATTGCGCATAATGTTCGTAAAATTTTGAAAGAGACTTCAAGGCAAAAGGCTTCTACGAGGAGGAGTAGAAAAGTAAGGTCTTCTACGAGATAATTTCCGAACGCGCGTTGCTAGGTGAAATCCGACAACCTCGCTGCCTTCCTTGGTTACCCCTCTACCGTCTAGAACCTTCCCGGTGATCTTGGGACGCTCAGTCGCTGTCTGGCAGCCGTTCGTGATGGAGCTTCCCCATAGCTCTCCCGCCAAGTGCGAGTTGCGCTCAGTTATACGCTTTTTAAATGCGAAAAATAGTTCTCCGGTCGGAATTCACCGTCAGTTAGTGGAAGTGTATGGTGAGAAGTGCATGGACATCAAAAAAGGCTTACACTTTATAAATCTATAATAAGACCAACGTTAACTTACGGAACAGAAATATGGTTTGAATTTATTAGCAAAAAATATATGTACAAACTGAACTCAATGCAATATCAAATTCTGCTATGGTGTACCCAAACATATAAAACAACCAGTTATAACTGTGTTCACACCTTAGCCAATTTTCCTTTGATCACTGATTATATGGAATCTAGAATAATAGGTTATATGAGTTGAATAATTTATCAACAGAAGATAAACAATTTTATGATTTGTATATTCCAGGTATGCTCAAAGATTTCATTATATCAAGGATTAATTTACTGAAAAGAATACTAATCAAACATTTCAAAGTTTATTTCCTTATGATATTCCGAAATATTTTCGACCAAAATATTATAATTCACAATTTATCACAGATCATGGAAATTTCAGGTCTTTTCTTAAGGAAATTCAGGCTGTGCAAGATTCGACATGTTTCTGTGGATTGGGGGAACAAACTTCAATACATCTCTTGCTGGAGTGCCCTGTCTTTCAAGATTACAGAGTCAACAACGGTTTAATTGCTTTAGGCCCTAGTGATTTAATTTCAAGTAAGGACACATATATAAAATTTAATTTCCTTTGTAAATATATTTTGGACTTCATTAAGAAAAATGGTCTTTGATGTAACGATCTCAAGGAAATATTGGACATATTATATGGTTGTAAACAATATATAGGTGTATGCGTGTATATGTGTGTATATATGTATATTTTTAAAATTTAATGATGTAACTGTAAATAAAATTCAAAGAATATCTCTATATGTAAATAACATTTTTGAGTCTTTCTAAGTCGCTTTCTGTGTATCTTTCCATGTTGAATATTTTCTTTGTTATATTTGTATGTACATTTAGCGCAAGTGTCCCTAGGGGGACATAGCGTTTTGAATTGAAATAAATAAATAAATCAAAAATGTGCGGAAATGGTGCCGGGAGTTTAACGAGGGGCGGATAAACGTCCACGATGAACAGCGGTCTGGGCGGCCGAGTTTGCCGGAATCAACCGTGGCTCGAATCGACGAAATGGTGCGCGCAAACCGGCGGATAACCCTTGAAGAGATCGAGGATGGCCTGAATGAAGATTGCAGCCACTTCTCCGTGCACAAGATTGTGTCTGAGACCCTCGGCTACAGAAAGGTGTCCGCCAGGTGGGTCGACAAGTGGCTCAAAGAGGCGGCGGGAGAGTGGTACACAACACCGGAATTACAAAGTTGGTTGACAGGATGAAAAAAGTGATTGAGCATCAAGGCGACTATGTAGAAAAATAGCAAAGTGTCCAACCTTTCCAATGATGTATAAAAAGTTGTAATTAAATGTGTTTTTCTATGAAAAAAAAAATAGGAGACCTTACTTTTCTACTCACCCTCGTATATTTTAGAGAATACCATTATTTTAGGTTGAAATATTGACAAATTCAAGATATAAACTCATCAAGTTCGCCCAAAAAAGTTCATTGTATTTCGGCAAACCATTGTTGTTGCCTTTTTTAAAGTTGGAAGACAATAAACGAGGTTAAAAAGAACGTTGAGTAATACACTTTTTTGAGGTTTGATGAATCTCGAACATTTTAAAATTTATTGGGAAATAAACCCGTAAAATAGTTTTCACGCTTGAGTTCTTCTACCTGGCCTTGTGAAATAAATCAAGCTCGAAAGCTAGCACTTATCTATTGGTCTAAGAAGTGTTGAAGAAGAAGACGTACTGATATGATGGGCTGTAGGTTGGAGACTTTCTCCCCACAGACTCGGCGGGGAGGTGGCACGGCGGTGTAAGGCTCGGCGTAGTCGTGGTGGACGCGCTTGGAGACTGCCGCCACACATGTTTCAAAATGGCTGTTACAGAAATCCTCGAAGTACATTGTTAAAACCTTGTTACTTATCTCAATTACACATGATAAATTCTAATATTAAGAATGGCATATCCTGACCAAGAGCACATGTGCTTTACAGAAGGCAGAGCGCCATCTGATGGAACAGAAATAAACTAAACATTGATTTAGCCTGTTCCCTGATATTTTTTGGCCAACCCAATTTCTTGATAAATCAAGAAAAGCCATCCACGAACGGGTTTCGTGCTTTTTGGCGCTCGTCAGCGTGGAGTAGCTTGCTGACGAGCGCCAAAAAGCGCGAAACGCGTTCGTGGATGGCTTTTCTTGATTTATCAAGAAATTGGGTTGGCTAAATATCAAGGAGCAAGCTAAATAAACGTTTAGTTTATTTTTGCTTCACTAGATAGCGCTCTGCCATCTAAAAAGCACATGTGCTCGTGGTCAGGAGATGCCTTCTTTATTTTTAATATCAACACCTCACCCACTTATCTTTTATCTTTTATTTTTTTCTATTGTTTTTTCATATATATATGTGACAATATAGTGATAATAATGTGGTGGGGAAAGAGAAAT